AGTTAGCAGCCCAACCCATCATTCACTATGCCACCGGAACTCACTGCCGTGGTGCAAAATAATAGCTAGGTCTATAAAGCTCACCCATTGCCACTGAGTCTATTCAGACTCATCGCAATTCTACAGGACAGGGTAGAACTGGCCCTTTGAGTTTCCACGGCTGTACATCTTTACTGGAGCCGACAGCCCCCTTTTTCTCCCAGGGAGCAGTTAGAGGATTTGAAATGCTGACTTTGCAGTTAGCAGCCCAACCCATCATTCACTATGCCACCAGGGCTCCTTTAGATCGCTAAGGTGTGGTGATGCTACCTTAGAATAACCAGCCCTATAATGTCAGAAGGGCAGCAGGTACCCAAGGAAAAATGCAGGAGGAGGAGCAAAGGAGAAGGAATGGAAATGAATGAGAGGAAACAACATGTGTGTGAATTGTTGCCTGTGAAACTCATGATCTGCTCTATGAACCTTCATCCAATTCACAGTAAGAAGTTGTTTTGTTTTTAAGTCTACCTAAGTTGCTGGAAGACTGAAACAGAGGCTTCTTGGAGTCTCCTGGTTGACAAGATTGGAGAAGCCCACCTCCTTTGGAACATGGGACCTCGCACTGAGAACCTTCCAGATGTGATTAAAAAAAATTGTCCATGGATAAAGAGCTATGATACATATAAACCTGAGACAGCACCAGAAGCAGGCCCAGGGGCAGTGGGAACCCTGGCCAAGCTGAAGCTGCTCAAACATCAGCAGGGAGAGGTCTAGAAGTAGTGGCCGAAATCACAGTCAGGAGATGTGACTCTTGGTGGTAAGAGAACTTGAGCCAAGTGGGTTAAAAGTATCCCACAGGGTCTGCACAGTACCTGAGTTTGGGTCAGGGAAGTGGGAGAGGGTGCCCACTGGGAAGAAGTGATTGACACCTCAGTCAGGGACAGAGATACCCCAAGTCTGCAGGCTTGGATCTGGGCCAGTCACTACTGGCAGGGGAACCCACCAAGGGAGCTTCAGAAATAGCCAGAGATCGTGCATAAGCACAACAACAGAGTCCCCACACACACACTGGTACCTGGAGAGGTGATGGGAACTTGGCCTCAATTTAAAGGCTACACTAC